TTTGCCAAAATCCAAAGTGACAAATTAAATCTGTTAAATAAATTCTTTATTTAAATTACGAAATTACAAAATTATTTTTAATTTTAATTAAATTTAATCCTAACCTAAAAAATTAATAAGATGCTATTACTCGTACAGTATATATGTTAGTATGTGATACAACTAACCACAATATCACAATCATACGAATCTTGTGATCCCTTAGTCAGTTGGCTACTGGAAAAATGTACTGACTAGTTTAATATTAAAATTTGGGGTAAAATTTCACCGATCAATTAAAATTGATACAAAACGCTCAAATAGTAAAGTAATACAAATTATTTTTATACACATAAAAATAATACGATTTAATACAAAAAAGCTAGAGAACATGAATACATCATTTTCTGATGGACATTTATTGTATTTTAACGACTTTACTATGTACGAATACTAGATTCTGAGATGAAATAGGTAGGATTACAAAATTTACAAATATCATTTTAATATAATAAAAGTAATATTTATTTTATTTATTTGTTTATTTTGAAGTTTTAAATGACTCTTCCTTCTCAAGAAGTTGCAGCACTATAAATTTTATGCAATTTCACTTTTTCTTTGTTCTTGTGGAGTTGTGGTAAATTTCAGAGAATCGTGAACGCATTTTTTTGTTTTTTTTATTGATTTTATGATTTTTATTTATCCTTAAAAGTGTCTGTTTCTTTTGCTAAATCATGACATTTTTTATTTTTCTTCATCCTGGATTTTATTGCTGTGTGAGCAGAAGTGAAATTTTTTATTCTTTTTATTTATTGATTTTTTATTCTTTTTTTATTAATCTCAGAGGGAATCTTTATTGATTTCTTCTTTACTTTTTAGTCTTTTCTTACAATTAGTGGTAGGATTCAGGTAGAGACTTTTTACTATTTTTTTTAGCTTTAGATTTAGTTTTTCTATTTTATTTTTTATTTTAGGTTCAATTTTATTCTTTATTTATTATTATTTTCTTACTATAATAATATGATTAGAATACAATTCAATTGATTGAATGTAGTTTTACTTTTTTTATTAAAAAAATGTAATTGAAAAATCCAACACAATAAATCATAGAAATATCAATAACATTAGTTTTTAAGATGATATTATTTTATTGTATTGCATAATACAAACTATTAATTTTCAGATGATCCTGCTTCATCAAGAAGTTGTAATGCCATAGTTTTCTTGAATGATTATGAAGTATTTGTTAACCAATTTAAAATTGTAGATATTCTTGGCATATCATCTTTGGAAATTTCCTCATCAGCCACCCTTTTCAAAAGTTTCTCGTGTATTTTATTAGCATTCATTTTCAGTTTAGAATTAGCTATACCAGTGTGAAACATTATAGTAAGAATTTCTTGATGTTTTCTAAAATTCATTTGATTTGTTATCTTTGATTCACTTTCAAATTTTCTGATAGAGCCCATCCATTAACAAATATAATATCACTTAAGAGTAATAAAAAAATATAAATTTACTTCAAATTTAATGCTAAGGAATAGTCAAATTTGCCTTTTTGATATTGGGGTAATATTCATTTCTTCAACTTATATTCCAACTTTTTTTATCAAAGATTCTAATAAAACAAAAACATAAATATTTCCATTATATTTACCTCAGAAATCTCCCTCTCTACTTGAGAATTCTTATTATCATCTGAGAATATATAATATTAGACAATACAAATGATCACAAATAGCCACAATTTTTGTTGTACAGTTTCATGATTTTGAAAAACAACCTTTTTTTGATACCAATAGTACAGTCCATAACTTTAAAGGTTGTATATATGTTGTATAACTTAAAGTTGATTTTTAAAGGTACATATATATCTTTGTAATTTTGTCAATTTGACCAAAAGTAATTTTGTTTCATTTACCAAACTCTAGTAATGCACAAGTACATATGTATCCATTATCCTCTCTTATTTCAGACCAAATAAACTCATGCCAATTTGATATCCCATTAATCGTTTCTAGTTTTCCTTTTTCTATATAAATTATTATTTATTTTTTTTCAAAAAAAAAAAATAAATAAAACTAAATATATTTTATTATCTTTATCATGATCTGATTCAAAGTGATATATATGAATGCCTAAAAGATCTTAGATAGCATTTTCAATATCTTTTCCTTCTTCTATTTCATGTCTTATTTTTATCATCTCTTTATTTTGCATGTGAAATCTAAATGTAGTAATATAATAAATGAATAATACCTATGTTAGTTTATGAAATATTAACAATACTGATCAGGTTATACTTGAGTATGATAGGAGTCTATTGTAGTTTTTGCTTCACCTGCTTCTAAAAATAACTATCTACGAGAACTAATATTATACTATTCTTTCTAGTGACCTATAATAATCATTAATTCTATATTATAGTAATGCTCTCTATTATTCGAAATAATAGTAATCCATTTTGGTTTTAGTTTTAAGATTTCGATTATAGTATGCAATGATAACACAGTAAACTATATATCTTAATGAGTATCATTTGACCAATGATCAAATGCTTTTACATCTAGGCTATTATCAGCATTTTTTTGTATAAACAAGAATAGAATAAAGCATCTATCCTCTTTTTCTGAACCATTTATTTTTTGTCTCACAAGCTTTTTTGGTAGGATTTTCATCTTACAATCTACAATTATTATAGATCTATCTAAATTAAGTTGAGAGAATTAAGCATTAAATTGTGAGTTGAAGTAAGATTTACGAGTATGATGTGCTATAAAAATAATCAATTGATTTGATAATTCAGTAATTTCTCTTATTCTTTATTTTTAAGGATATTTTGTAAAGTATCAAAGAATAAAAAAGTATCTAAATGATTCAATTGACATTTACCAAATGCACAAGATAAGCAATGACTAATTCATGCATTATATTTGGTATAATCTGATGAATCAATATCTAATCCTTTTGCAAAATCTCTGTGTAAATAACATCTCAAAACTTGTGCTTGTTCTTTCAATTCCTTCTATTATAAAATTTCAATTAGAAATGTAAATATTAAAAAAAAATATTGGTAAATATTATATTCGTATTTGAATATTAGAAAATATAATTTTCAATTAAATCCTCAATTTCTGCAAAAACTTCATATTTACATTCATTACAGGTTAAGTATAGGCCTTCTAAATCCTCTTTGTATTAATATTGATTTCCTTGAAAATATGTCATAAATATAGTTCTTTTCATATTATTAGGATATAATTCTAAAAATTTTTTTCACAAAGATGCTTTAGTATCTTAAAGATACAATACAGGTAAACTAATTCAACTATCTGTCTTGTAACTACCCATATTTACATTTTCCTTATTTAAAAAAAAAATGTTTAAAATACAGGTAAACCAATCCAACTATTCATCTTGTAACTACTCATATTTACATTTTCCTTATTTAAAAAAAAATGTTTAAATTGAGCTAATGATTTCTCTGATAATTTGACTCAGTGAATAATAGGTTTGAATAATGATGGAACATCATAACCAATGAATTATACATGTTTGCGAGCTTTAATAATAGTATGTATACAGATCTAGATTTTAAATATTTAATATTAGAATTATTAGAATTCTAAATTCTAAAAATAAATTATATTGCTTCTTATATCCAATTGTGATTTTAATTTATTATACATAAATTCATTAGCAATAATTGATAATATTTTTCACTTACCCTTTGGATTTTTTTTATTACCATCAATGCATATTTGAAGCAATTCCAAAAAATTAGAGATTTGTTTAAAATATATCAAGGCTTTATTTAGAGAAATCCTGACTTGTATAACATGTGTAATAATTTTTTATCTCTTTTATAATCAATTGATTGTGTCTAAAATTGCTACTTTTAGTGTTAAAATAACATTTATTCATTAATTTATATAGTAAATTCATAAAAAAATTATTTATTACAAGCTTTCTATTTATTGATCCATTTCTTACTACAATAAAATGTAATTTTTTTTGCTAATAACTAATGATTTTTTGGTTATCATCTAATACATTTTTTTTTAAATTAAATTATAATATACAATAAATTCTTATGCTAATAATTTTTAGTTTCTTTTTATATACATTTTATTAAATATTTTTACTAAATTAATTATGCAAATAATTCCCTTACTTCAGATTCATTAGATGACTAAAGAGTTATATTATAACAATCTGCAGCATGTAGAATTATTTTCTATGCTTCTAGTTTTACTCACTAAACTTATACCCCCTTGGATAAAGTTTTCAAGACTGGATTTAAATTCAATTACTGGGTTTTTACTTTTAGCCCATAATTCAAAAAATTGATACCATTTTATATTAGTAAGAGTTTGATATCTAAGATTATGATCATATACAGATTTTAATGAGAAATAAGCATGCTAATCTTCTAAAAAGCATGTAGACTTTCATTGAATTAATTTTTAAGTAAATGAATTCTTAAGACCAAAAAGTTAGATTCTTTCATATTGTTTTATAAATCCTGAAATTTTCCAAACTTTATTTGAAGAATTGCTTATAACCTGTTTTTGAACGTTAAAATTTTGATAAATTTTAAATACATAATTTTTATTTTTAATTGTAGATATGAATATGGCTGACTTATTAAGATATTTATGATTAATTGAAGTTTTATATCCTGATTTACCATTACCCTAAAAACCAATTCCATAAATAAAAACTTGATATTTCCCAACAAAGAAAGAAAAAGGAGAAAAGGAATATTTTAGAATAATTGAGAAATTATATTTTTATTATTCTACCTTATCACTAGTAGACTAAAAAAGTGAGTTTGTTTTATAGAAAATATACTAATATATAAATTTGAAATTGTGACAAAAGAATTATTTTCTATTTTACTTAAAAAAGTACCTGAAGTACAAATAAAATCAGAAGCAAAAGGATTATCAGTATTTCCTATTCTCTTATTTCCATATGCATATCCATAGTTTCTATAGTATATACCTACAAGAAAGGATAATCATTCTTTCTTATTTCAATCTATATCACTAAATATAACATCCATAATTAAATCAGACACTGTTTTTAAATAAAGTTTATTATAAAAAAATAGAGATAATATTTAATAACAGTAAATTCACTTAAATTTTTTGATAAAATATTATTAATGGTAATTAAAAATAAATAATAATCATAGCTTAAATTCTAATATTTACTAAAGCACATATAACGCAAAATAATTCTGAAAGACAATTTTCTTCACAATTCCAGTACACATATATTCAATTTCTAACTGTTTATTACACCTTTCATTATAAAATAATCTGTGATAAGATGCTTTACAACTTAATTTGCATCTTCCTTAATGCTTACATTTCTATAAGCATTTCTTAGTACATACAACACAAGGTTCTAAACATTCTTTATTACATGATATATACATGCATGATACAATATACTTGTTCTTACATAATTAGCATACTCTTCCTTCATGTCAATATATATTGCATATATATTCATAAATTAATAATCTGTTACAATATGTTTATTATTTTCATAGTTTGTTTAGATTATTTTATTTATTTCTCCATGAATTTCTTGGGTGATTTTTTCATTTATTTCATTCTATGATTCTGGTTTTAAAAGTTTTTGATATCTATAACATTCTATTAAGCATTTATAGTCACATTCAACAATTTTTCACATTTTTCTCTATATATAATATTATTGATAGATTTAAAACACTAAATAATAAAATATCATATATATTAAAAGCAATTATCATCAAAAAAATATTAAGCTTATAAATTATTTACTTACATGAACTACTTTTAAATAGAGTTCCAGACAAGTCGAGTTAACTCACGAGTCAGATAAGCCGAGTCGAGTTTAAATCAAGTCGAGTTTATGTTTTTTTGACTCGATGA